TTTCATTTTGCGCCCTGTTTTTTAAATTCTTTTCATATTCATCTTTCTTCCTTTCTTTCTATTGAATGGTGGTATAAGTTTAAGTTCAACTGTCAATCGGCTACTTGAAACTATTTAGTTCAATATCCAATTGTTTTAAAAATTTTATAATGCGCTGCTTTCTATTTAATGACCTACATTTAGTACACACATTTTGCTTATATACTACTTGTATATATAATTCAGTAAGACAAACAGTATTTATACACTTTGACTATATAGTCAGTCCATGTGTTGTTGGCATTTCTTTTAATAAAAACTTTTCAATATTATACATAAATTCATTGTTCAATAGTGAATATAAAAAAAATTCTTTGTTGATTATTTTCCGCTCTTTTCAATTATAAAAAGGTCACTGCTGTTTTTAAAATAGGTTTATAAATATGCCATGCATAACAATTTACAAAATTAAACAAATAATTCACTAGAATAATAATAATAATAATATTCGAATTTAAAATTATTTAAATTTAATTTTTGGCGGAGTTCAGATTATACATAACGATACATTAAAACAAAACTTATGAAAGATAATTAATTCAATATTCAACTACAAAATGTTACTATTTTAAAAAAGTATAGTTGTGGTAGATTTTATCAAATTGAGAAGAAAACAGTTAATAGTGTAGTGAAGGAGAACACCGGTGAGGGCAACCGAATTGTATTTAACGAAAATTACAGAGTTACTCAGTAAAATTGGAAAACCATATCGTAAACGGTTAATTTGCTAATCTTCAATCCATCATCAATCCATTGTCTGTCATTTCACTTATTCATGCGTTTCATACAAATTCCATTGTGTTCTCACTCTTCCTTTCTTGATCTTCCCCCATCTTCTGCTGCCAGACATTACGTTTTTACTGGCGTCATATACTACTTATAAGTAGCTCACACCACAATAGAACCGAAAGAAACGTCAAATTTTATTGAAATCGTAAATTGACCCAATGTTAGAGTGACACAGGAAACTTGAGAGGATCGAGCATCTGTTTCGTTCTATAATGCACATCCACATTTTCGTAGGCACGAGGAGTATGGTTGACTGATTGAAGTTAGACATTCACACCGCTGGATGTCGTCTCAGTGATCAAAAGTTTAAGTGCTTGCATATTACGACACCGAGGGTCCTTGTACCTTGTACCTCGAGCAGGGATAGGGGATGTGCACTGCTGATTAGACTCCTACAAGGACAAAACCTAGCTGTTCAGTGCTTCCAAATTTTTATTTGTAGTCTAAAATTGATCGATTCATGGATTCAATGAAACCTAATTATATGAACAATCCCCAAAACAGACCTTTCATACATAACAATATCAGAGCTGTTATTGATTTACATAGTATTCAACTAATGAACTGTTTGTTACACATGAACGTAAACATGTCAAATTGATATGCTTGAACTATTATGACAGAGAATCGAGGATGCGGCGACACGACATGCTACTCTAATCTGAGTGTCCCAACCACCCATTAAATAAGAGAAGACTGGATATACATTAGGACCTGTATTCTACAAGCATCCAGAAAGTACGAGGTCCGAGTCCAGAAGAAGGAACGGATCCCGGACTGAGGATCCGGGTCCGGGTCCGCGTCCGCGTCATAAAACGTTACAGATAATGCGTATCTACACATTTAGGTCTAATAGGAAACAGCATCGAAGTCTGTGATATTGACAGTGAAGACGATCAATAGGAAACAACATTTGAAGTGACATTGATATCTAGGACGACCAGAAAACTGACCAATAGGAATTAACCAATAGGAAATATGTAAGAAAAATAATTTAGAAACTATTACAAGAATCTTGAAAATCTTCAGTGCCACTGAAAAGTAGAGGAATTTCGATTCAACAACCTTTTCCACAAAACAGATAACATCTACTGCAAGGAACTGGATGAAGTGGCGGTACCTTCTCATCTATCTAGAAAGATGACACTGTCACACAGTAAGGTGACAAGTTATCATTGGTATCAGTTCATTGTGGAAAACTAAGGAAATATATTCTATTAGGAAAAGAATAAAATCTTGAATAAGAGAAAGTATTGAGGAGACCAATGGTTTGTAAACAAATTGCATTAACTTCACAAAAGTTTATGTGCCTCTATCAATATTTAAACAAATGATCGATTTTACACATTTGAAATCATCAATCAATCATTGTTAGACCACCATTAGAAAACTGGAAGCACTGGACGGCCGTTTCTATCTGGTATGGGACTCATCAGTGGCAGTGCACATACACGACTCCTGCCTTTCTCAGGATTCGAACCTTCGGTATTGTGGGCGAACGCCTTACCATCGGACCACTGTGCGACCCCACCAACGTGTCTTTGGTAGTTACTGCCTACACCCGACAGGGTTGAACTCCATTGGTCACGTCTTCTCAACTAGAACTGCGAGAATTTCCTCACGAAGCTAGTCACTAGTGAGCACTGTTACGATATTTTGGGGCAGAGTTTTGGAGATTTGCGTTTTTACACATTTGAACACATTTGGATGTGCACTGCTGATGAGTCCCATACCAGGACGAAACGGCCGTCTTTTAGTGCTTCCAGGTTTCTTCTAATGGTAGTCTAACAATGATTGATTGATGATTTCAAATGTGTAAAAACGCAAATTTCCAAAACTGTGCCCCAAAATGATTGATTGATCAATAATAAAATTAACTACCAAAGACGACAAATAAGTTAGATCGCTCAAAATCTCTTGATCAATCAGAGTTAGACATTAACACCATTGGATGCCAGCCCAGAGGTTAGGCGTTTGTGCACAAGACCGAAAGTCCTTCCGTTCGAATCCTACGATGTGCACGAGTCGAGGATGCGCACTGCCACTGATGAGTAGTCCCATACCAAGACGAAACGGCTGTCCTGATCTCCAATGGTGGTCTAACAATGATTGATTGATGATTTCAAATGTGTTACAAAAACACTAATCTCCATAACTCAAATTGAAAATAAAATTAAACCCTTCATAACTCTGTCATTCATTATTATTATTATTATTATTATTTTCCAGTATGATTTTGCATATTGGTATGCCTACTGTTTACAACATGCGTCATTCATTCATTCCTTCAATCATGATCTAGATGCCAAATTTCTGACGTAAATTTATTCAGAGTTTTGTAATCCAAATTGACGAATAAGTAAGTAGTTAATCACTCGGTGATTGATCTATTCAATTTAAAGATTGGAATTTTCTTTGTATGAATAGATTACAACTATACATACAGTATATATATATATATATATATATATATATATATATATATATATATATATATATATATATATATATATATTTGCGCATGCATAGTTCTGTTTTCCGTTTGACATTTTTAATACAGCATTGTATTGTGACGTAGTTGAGTGCTTTCTTCAATGTATCGCCTTTTCTCTAATTTTTTACCTCGTCTGTGATCTGGTTTGTACTCTTCCGAAACAGAATGTTGCTGATCCTGTCTGTTAGGATATTCATCCAATATCCTAGGAGAATTATTGGTCAATTCCTATTGGTTAATTCCTACTGGCAAATTTTATGGTCGTCCTACACTTCAATGTCACGAGCTTCAAAGTTGTTTCTTATTGCATGTCCCGACTATCAATGTCACTTCAAATGTTGCTTCTTATTGGTCGTCTTAACTGTCAATGTCACAGACTTCGATGCTGTTTCCTATTCGACCAAAATGTATAAATACGCATAATCTGTAACATTTTATGACCAGGACCCGGACGCGGATCCCTAGTCCGGAATCATGATTCTCTTCTGAATTCGGACCTCGTACTTTCTGGGTGTTTGTAGAATACAAGTCCATGCGATTAGGCATAACAAACTATTTGTAGTCAGAAATATAATAAGCTAGACATGTAATGACCCAAGTGAGCAATGCACAAACACACATACTCTGAAGTAAATACGACTAAGGTCACAAGCGAATAATTAACAAGACCGAAATGCTGGACTAAATTATTTTTTCAAAGAGCCCCTTGGACTCAACATACATACATGTATACATTAAACCATGTTGTAATCTTTATCGCTAATTTAGGTTATTTTGTACAATGTTCACTAGTTGAACACATATATTTTGAATTAGATGTCACTTACTACTTTGTAGTATTTAAGTAGTTGATACATCCATAGGATTATAGGGTACTCTAGGAATCAACTCAACATCCGTTTTAGTTTGATAAACTGCCATGTATGAGAGGAAGTTAGTGTTCAGATTATGTCATTCTAATCGTGTTGTTTAAAACCGATATGATATAAACTGATATCTAAGAGCTGGTGTTAGGATATTCATCCAATATCCTAGGAGAATTATTGGTCAATTCTTACTGGTCAATTTTATGGTCGTCCTATACTTCAGTGTCACGAGCTTCAAAGTTGTTTCTTATTGGTTATCCAGACTATCAATGTCACTTCAAATGTTGCTTCCTATTGGTCGTCTTAACTGTCAATGCCACAGAATTCGATGCTGTTTCCTATTTGACCAAAATGTATAAATACGCATTATCTGTAACATTTTATGACCACGACCAGGACCAGGGCTCGGTCCCGGATCCCTAGTCCGGGATCCTGATTCTCTTCTGGATTTGGACCTCGTACTTTCTGGATGTTTGTAGAATACATGTTCTACTCTATATCAAGTCTTCTTATTTTTACTCAATATGGGGGTTGGGATAATTGGATTTGAGTAGCATGTCATGTCGCCGGATCCTCGATCCTCGCTCTCGTTTTTCGACTAAGGTAAACTCGTAATAGTTCAAGCATATCAAGGCGTAACAGCTCGTTTAATAAAAACTTCAGAATACACCAATTGAAATATTTACTTTCAAGTTTTTTTTTCCCGTTTACTCCCCCCAAAGTAGATGAATAGTAAAGTAAATAATTCCTAAAGAGAAATACCAAATATGATCATTGCTGTTTATTTAATTGTCTGTTACGTAACAAACATCAAAAAATCTACGAATCTAAATCAATTTTTAAAATCGCGAAAACAAACTGCTTAAAAATCAATAATACTGAATCACAGTAATCCGTTCATTATTAAAATTTATCAATCTCAGAAAATATCTGAAAACTATTCACTTCATCAATAATCTTTCCTAATCGATCGTTTAGTCGTTTCTCCATAGTTTGAATTATATCATCCATTTTGTTTGAATCTACAATATTCAATGTTCATTTTTAAAAAAGCTATTTATTGATTTTAAATTTACCCATTTCCGACTGTAGCAGATCATGTAAATAACTAGGCGAAATGAAACAATCCTGTTTGTCATCAAGAATTTTATTGTTCAAATTCACAATTGGAAACTCAGCCTAAAATCAATGGTGTTCTTTTGATTTTCATTACAACTAATTACTATGTGATACGATTTTAAAAATTCATCAAGATCTTTCGGGAATCGATTTGATGATGTTGGTTGTTGTAGTTGGTGGAAATTTTTCCGCCATATTGTTTCATCCACGAACAACTCTTGTTTCTTTTGAGTTTTATTCATTTTTCGCGATTGTTTTGTTTCTGTATTGTGGCCACTTGGAATTTCTTGTACTGATGTGTAAAATTATACCATCCCGCCCCCAAAAAAACACAATTTATGAAAATTTTCAATTAGAGTTATGGAGATCAGTTTGTTTTTACACATTTGAAATCATCAGTCAATCATTGTTAGACCACCATTAGAAGAAACCTGGAAGCACTAAACGACCGCTGTTTCGTCTTGGTATGGGACTGACCCATCAATGGCACTGCACATCCACGACTCGTTCACCTCACAGGATTCTCGAACCCGGGACCTTCGGTATTGTGCGCCAACGCCTAACCACTGGGCCACTGAGCCGGCATTTACAAGAAACTCCTTTTAAAAAAAAGCAAGTTCATTCTGTGGAATGCGTAGCATAATTTCGATTTGTGGAAAAATCACAGTGAATAGAGAAAACTAATAACAACCCATGCAAGTTTACATTGTGGTGAACGAGAACACAGGTGAGGGCAACCGAATTGTATTTAACGAAAATTACAGAGTTACTCAGTAAAATAGGAAAACCATATCGTAAATCGTTCATTTGTAAATCTTCAATCCATCATCAATCCATCGTCTGAAATTTCACTTATTCATGCATTTCATACAAATTCCATTGTGTTCCCACTCTTCCTTTCTTGATCTTTCCCCCCATCTTCTGCTGCCAGACATTACGTTGACACTCACGTCATATACTACTTATAAGTAGCTCGCACCACAACATGACTGTCAACCACATCGTTTAGCCTTATTTTTTTTAAAAAATAGTTTATTTCAAACATAAACAGATTGTATCAATTCAATGTTTCAATAAATTTGTAACATTTTCACTTATAGAAATGTTGTATACAAATCAATTTGTCATGCAATCAATATAGTCTTAATATCAAGGTTGAAAAATAAAGCAGATTTATGCACGCAAGTAAATAAACAACATTACAGTTTACCCTGTCCAACATGTGCAAACTTTCAAAGCTACATAAGTGTACTGTTGACATGTATATTAATTTAGTCAGAATGAGCGAATTTCGTCATTGAACACTGCAGGACTGACTTTAGTTAAACAACTGTCAAAAAGTGCAATGATCCTAATGATTGTGATTAGGATCCCATTAGAATAGAAAGTTGGATGAACATATTGAATGGGTATAACTGAATATTTTCTTGTACACTTTTATTAAGAACTTTGAACATATGTGTATACATGTATGTACTACAGCTAGGTCACAACCATTCTATGCCTACTTTTATATAGCTCTTTATGTTGTATCTTGCCGCTTTAAAATGAGTTTTTATCATCAGTTTCTCCTTTCGAAATACATGAGGTATGATTCTTAAATTTTTAGTAACTGGAGCCCCTCTGAGGCAACTGCCAGTTACAGGACTGGATGAAGGAGGAGGGTTTGGTCTCAGCTTGGTGACTTCATCCCGCAGAAAAGTAATTCGTTAAACCATGCCAACCACAAAAAGCAATTCGAACCATTTAAACTTTGTTCTGGGAGTCAGAACGTGTTTATTCAGAAAATTGATGACATTCATGATGATAACCGAGTTCCTTTGGAAGTCACCAGGCCGATTCCCATTTCGGCAACCATCATTTTAGGTGCATGGAATGTTGGAACAGTGTGGGAGACCGGGAGGCTGTTTAAAATAGCTTCAGAAATGAAAAGATACAACTTGGAGGTTCTTGGAATCAGTAGATAGGACATACATTGCGGAAAGCACTCATCTAAGTCACAAGACAAGCCTCCATTTGGAACCCTCAAGTTCAAAGGAAAAGAGGAAGGCCAAGGAACATATTACGCCAAGAAATGGAGAAAGACATCAGAAGAATGAATAAAAGTTGGACAAAACTGAAAAGGGAGTCGCAAGACAGAGTAGGTTTGAGAATACTGGTTACTGGCCCATGCTCCATTGTGAGTAACAGACATGAGTAAAAAAGTAAGTAATTAAGTAACTAGTCAGTTAGTATGCCTCTAAGCAATAAAAAGTATAAGATTGTTTCCTGAGCCTATTCGAAAATAATCGGCAACTTCTTTGTTCGTATCTTCAATAGGTTGACATTAGAAATGTTTAGATGCATGAAATTTTACTAAAATGCGCTTCGGCTAAATGATTCCACAAAGTAACCAATGGAATAATTTCGGTCATGCTCATAGTGGTTCTTAGTTTAAAAGACACAATCTAAAGGAATGATAAGATTTTCTACTGATTTATGGTAGTTAAAAGATTTTATTATCATGACTAAACTAATTCGTCATATGAAGTTTAATGGTTTTACTTCATTTAATAAAAGTGATGTGGTTATATGTCAAATAAAGTTTTAACTAACCAGTCTTTGGAGTCGATGTACTCTCATCATAATCAATGATACATTGATGTAGACAATGTTAAAGAAGCGAACTTTTCCACTATCGAAAAAATGATAAAATAATTCGGTACATATAAGTAATGAAGTCAACACGCGCTTTATCTTTCAACTCTCATGTTTTTCTGACTTTTCTAGCTTCCTTGACTCAAAATAAACTCACCTTTTATAGTTATTGATACGATGGTATCACACTTTGTTATTTCCTTTACTGGTACAAGTGTTATCAGTAGCTTTGATAATTCAACTTATATAGTTGGTCCCACTGATATATTCCAAGTGTTCCATAAAAAGATATTGATTCTTGATAAATTACTTTAGGATCTGAGCGAAGGTTATCTGTTCACAGAGAATCGAATCGCGTTCTAAATGGCTGTCACCTTTTTGGTTAGATTGTATTTTTAAAGTAATAGACTGCTAGCTTATGTAATTTTTCTTTTTAACCTGTAGCATAAGCTTCAAACAAAGGGGCTCCGCCTATAAAGTTTAATAAATTTCTAGTTGATAAATGCCTCCCAGATAGTAGTAGACAAAGATTTAGGGTCACCGAAACATCGGCTAAGTCACTTCCGTTCAGAGTAACGTTACTCAGCTCAGGAATATGAGTATGTTTCATCGATAAACCTAGTGGTTTTTAGGAGTATATATATAAAGTGACCAAAATTTAGGAAGTGATGCGTTACGCTCGCACTCCAAGTTGGATTGAATTATCCACTCAAAAGTACTGAATGCTAGCCTCAAGAAACAAATATGGTGTGCTACCTACTAGGCAAATTGATGTCCAAGAGCTTTTTACCGATGCAAAACTGTTAGCATTACTTCTGTCTAAGCATTCCGAGCAAATATTTTGTGTAGTATTTATTCCTTGCAGTGTCATTTATGAAACAGTCTCCGTGCTGAGACCAATAAACTGCCTGTATTTCTTACCGGACGATTGCTACGAGCTTGCCCATTGTTATCCCAACTTGGAGTTCTCCGTCAGCCGAAATGACCATAGTCGCCCTAGTGAATAGCTCTAAGAAGAGACTTAATAGACGAACGGTCAAATACAGATTATCATTTCCTACTGTACCAGCTGTGCCTGATGACTGTCTTGAAACATTCTAGTACTTATCATTGCTACGTCTTCAGATCGGTAACTTATACTGTCCTTCCGTTCCCTCATCTTTGCTTCAACTTTTGTCCTCGCACAGAATTAAATAACTTTATAATTCTGAAGTTCCCCTCTTATCATTAGCACCAGAGGTTTCTCCCTATTTTTCTCCACAATGCAGTTGACTGCGCTCCAGCCTGGTAATGTGGTAGCTGCTAGTATCAATAAACCCTACTGCCCTGAGAAAAATACACTTACTTAAATTATAGAACACATAAGTTAATAAAAACCGTCAAGCGACAAGAATTTGTCTATCCGAATGGCTGGAATATAATCCATTGTTCATTACAAAATACATGAAAGTGTACCGAAAGAACAAGAAGCGAGAGCAAAGAAGTCAGTCGGTTTATACTAGTTCCTAAAATAATTTTTGATCTCTGGATATTGGATAACAATTTGACTGATGATTTTCAATGCCGAACGAATAACATACAAATATGACCACCTCGAATTTGCTAAAAACACAGTCACTTAACAGAGACCAGACCAGAAATAGTCCCACAACAAAAAATCGGAATACAAGTAAATAGGATTACTCTGAACGTATATCATTAAAATTCATAGGCTAAAACGCATGTAGATATGAAGCAAACAAGAAAATTTGTCATCCCTTTCCTCATCTTACTTGTTACCCTGATAATCACCATTTATCTTAGGCACTATGACCGCAAATGCTTAAAATACATATATAAAGATGAAAGTATGTTTTTTACAGATTTTAATATAATTAGTCCCGAATTTCATACCATTTTCTATAAAAAGCATGACAAATAATTATTTCGAGTACTTGGAAGCCGTTATTGACAAACAGTTATTTATGTTTAACATCAGTTAATTGTGATCTGCCTGAATACACTCTGAACAGACATCAAATATGACTGCTCAAAATAATGGGCAATTTAGTGAATAAGGAAAAGATAAATCTTTAATAATACTTAGTTTATGCACATGTATTCTTAAAATTCACAACCAGGTTTCTATGACATCCAAGGTAAAATGGTAGGTTAAAACAAACTCATCCATCCATACACTTCTGAGTCTTGGAAATGGAGTTAATATGAATGGTAATTCTTATCATTCGATTCCAGGATAAGATCAAAATCTGAATATGACATTTATTCAATTCTGAAAGTAATTACAACTCCCTTTCAATTCACTTTCCAAATCTTTGGAAGGAACTCAAATATCGGTACATTCGGATGTTATGATTTTTGGCAGTCAACAGCACGAATACATTACCAGGTTAGCTGCTGAATTACACAGTCATCCTTGTTCTTGTCGACACCGGGAACCATTCTCGTACGACTAAGTGCTATCTTCAATCCGCATTTCCTATTACATACATTATCCATGTATTCTTGTATGCCTAGGAGTCTGTCTGCATATTTATCAGATGTACGAAACATATTACTTCACACAAACTCAACTAGTGACAGTCAATGTTGCCTCAGCACAGTTTTCGATATGCCGACTTATTTTTTATCATGATTTACTTGCGATACAACTCTGAACATATATGATAAATCCACAAACACAGGATATACATTAATC